TGAATGTTGTGTCATGGTTTTTTTTTTCTCTCAATGTACTACTGTAGAATAGGAATTTTTTTTAAATGAGGAGATAAATTATGATAATAATTTACGAATAGTTTTTTTTTTCAAATGGCTATAAATTTTTATTAATCCAACTATCTTGTTCATCTATACATTCAATTTATTGTACAAAGATATTTTTTTTTCTGATTTTGAAAATGTACAACAAATGTTGAATATTTGATTTTTAATCAGAAAATGTATATAGGATATTAATAAGTAATGAGTAGATAGTAAATTTTATTAATAACAGTCGAGGAAATGAGAGAGTTATTAGAAGGTACACAATTTAGTCTCGTGTGCTGTTACGGGTAGGAGGGCGGATGTCAACTCCTGGCTGTCCACACCATGAAAGAGTGTTTCTTGAGGAATCTGAATAGGAAATGGGATTGGCGTTGGTTTTAGAGACCTGGGTGCGTGACCGCAGAGCCCAGGGGACAACTACTCCAGGCCGGTCACATGCAGATTTTTAAGGGAAGTATGTAAAGCGTTAGCTCAGCATGTTTTAAAAAGCCTTACCTCCGGAGACGGGAATCCGTGAAGTAAGGTGAGGTGTAACACTTTTAGGGTCGACTTTCTCTAACTAATTCCTTCGTTGTGAGAAGGCTGCATCGCTGCAGATGTTGGTTGTCCGAGAGAAACACCTTACTGCTGTCACACCCCTCTATAACCGTTAGTAACACTTCGCCCTCAGACCTTGAGTAGCTGCTTTTAGTCTCATCGTTCTCTAGTCGACCTGCCTGGTATGGTAGGACCGGAAGGAACATATGTTCCAGACAATTTCTTTCGGTTGGATCATCGCGATTGACAAACCCGACCACCACGTCAAGCTAGCAGCTATGATCGGTTATTACCAATAACTATATTGAAATTAATGCTAGAAAAAAATGACATTTCGGTTGAATGTAATAAGATAAATTTGATCATAGCAAGAAACAAGTTTTATCAATAAGATGTATTGTGAATAACAGTGGAATCTGAAACACATAATTCAATTTATGTGAGATTAATATTCAGTATGTTTCACTTTAAACGCTAACATATAAACCACTGATATACTGTCTCATTGTACAGATTTGTATATATCTGAACTGGGTTGTTTAGTGGAAAACCTCAAAGATTATCGATTTTAGAAAATGTCCTTTTAAAATATCATTTAGATGTGTTTAAAAATGCTGATTCACAATAAACTGTTATGAGATAAAAAATTTTTTTAATGTGTAATAAAGGACAATTAAGGATTTTTTCTAACATGTTAATGGAATTTTGATTGATAAACTATTGTACTGTCAAAAAGAGATGGATAAAGGCTAGTAGTGAAGTTCAGAACATGCATTTCGTCCTATCTGGAACTCGTCGGCTGGATGTGTCTGCATCTCAAAGTTGATGTTCACTGTGGAACTCGAACCAAGTGCCGGGCATATCAAATGCTAACACGTTATCCAGTTAGCCAATGAGTCCAGACTGCCACTGGTTTGTGAGAAGGAGTTAAGTTTGATATGATACGATATGATATGATATCACAGGCAACTGTAACAAATCCATTTTTTTCGATCACTTATTCTTTGATAAATTAACACCTGACTACTTGACTTAATTTTTGAGGATCATATTAAAGAAATAATCTATTCTGCGATGATACTACACTAATCTTCTTATTTTATACTGAATTATTTGTTAAACATAAACATGATTGACCTACTGAAAAATTGACTCTTTTAAAATTGACTATACATATTACTGATAGAAAAAGATAACACCTGCTACTGCTTATATGATTTTATTTCTTAACTAATATTTAAAATGTTATATAACCATTATTCCTCTTTACATGACGCTTCTATGAAAAAAAAATTTTGAATTTCTCTTCGAATTTGATTGCTAATTGTTCTAGAGGATATTTCTCATTCTAACATTTCATATTGTAAATAAATGAATATCAGTTCATTCACTTACTCATAATAGGATGTTTAATGTTATTAAATTTCATTGTACAATCAGTGTTGACATGATTTTCATATGATTTCATTTTTAATAATATTGTTAATTAGTCACTAATATGATATTGTAACTTAGGCAACACAATTAATGCGTACAAATAATGTTACAGTGGATTTCGATGTTAGTAATTCATGTAAGCAAACAATTGTTCGAAATTGACATTGATAAAACAAGGCTGAAGTTATCCGTCAGTTAATTAGTCAGGAAGGATTTGATTGTAACTAATTTGGTCGCGTGTGTTGTTACGGCTATGAGGGCGGATGTCAATTCTCGGATGTGCACATTGTGGAAGAGTATTTCTTTAGGAACCTGAGAAGGAAAGTGTTTTAGCGTTGGTATTAGGGGTCTGGGAGTGTGACCACAGAGCCCAAGAGAAAATTGCTTGCAACTATAACGTTTTCAATATTTAATAATTGCGATATCAATGACTGTCGGTTATTTTGATTTCTGTTTATTTGCTTATGAATAGAGTGTTATTTTACTTCCAGGTTTTCATTTCAAGCACTTTGCAGTTGATTACATTTGTGTTCTCCATCTGATCTGTTGAATAGCAATATGCTGACTCATTCAGATTTAGATAGTTATAGATATTTTCAAATAACAAAATGAAACTTTTAATGAAACATGCACCCTTACTAAATAAACAAACAAGCGATCAAAAGTTCTAAATAGAATAAATTTACTGTAAAAAAATTGATATGATGTATGAACGTTAATTATTGAGATCAAAGCTATTATCCTGCTGTTACTCTATTGCTTTATACTTTTAATGGTTTCATAACTAGGTTGAATTTCTCGGTTCGCTGCTAGAATGCTTAATCTCCTTAGTATTTTATCTTATTACCGATATCCGCAACAAGTTTTTTTAAATTTGTGCAACAACTAGCCTTAGTTGATTGGGCTCTTTCAAGGTCATCTGCATGAATATAGTTTCATCCTGTACTCATTTTTTCTGGTTAGCGATTTTGGCAAGTTAGTTTTAGTTGGGATGGGGGCGCCAATCCCATGTCCAACCCCTCCTCCTTTATCCAGGCTTGGGACCGGCAGTAGTCCCGAAAAGACTACAGGCGGAGTTAGTTTCATCACTTAAACCAACATTAAAATTGAAGCAGTATTTCACGACTGATCCTTTTTCTTTGCTGAATGTCCAATTCCTTTATCTAACTGAACGTTATCTCTTTCTAAGTTGTATGTAGGACCTCGTTGATATAACTAAATCTTTCTCCTGATACCCTCAACCAGCTAATCGTTCAATGTATATATCACTATTATTCTTTGCCTAAATAAACTCTCGCTTACAGCTTCCTTTTTAGCACATTGTTTTTAAAAAACCTTGAACAAAATAAATCATTAGGTTTTTTTAGTTTTTTTTGATCATATCAGCGTATTGATAATTTACACAACAAAACATTATGTCAATCAATATTATAACTAGATATCATCTATCTCACAACTAATTTCAATTTATTATTATCTTACACTTTCTCACTTATGCTTTTCACATGTGTGTGTGTATATGTGTTTTAGTTGTTTAGTTATTTGAACTGGTTACAGAAGAAGAGTACAAAAGAAAAACAAGTTTTTCTTCTCTTCATATAATGATTAATTTAACAAATGTGTGCTTATTGACAAGATGTTAAAATTTCATTGAATATTCAACTTTCGTTTTGTTAAAGTTGTTAGTCTTGTTAGCTCTTCTTTTTCTCTGTGTGTGTGTTCTTGATTAGTGTATATGTGTGTATGCCTAGATATATATATATATATATATATATATATATATATATATATATATATGTCTCCCTTAAATTGAGCTTTCCGGTTATTTAAAATTTGAAAATACGCAGTTTTTTGGCTGCTTTTTGCAATCCATCTGTCATTTCATTTCGGATTCCACTCTACGTTTACACATTTATTGAAGTTTTTTTTGAACATATAACGTTTGGAAGAAATATACGTTTTCATCAGCACGTTATATCGCGAGTTGATTGAATCTGGAGTTGCATCATTGACAGCTTAACCAGTGGTTCTACTGGGTAGCTATTGAACACGAAACTAAGTTCATTCCTTGATGGGATCGTATGTGTACACTATTGGTTTAATAATCACATACTAGGATTAAAGAGATGTTCAGTGCCTGCTGATTCTCACTGATGCTCTAGCTGAGATCACTTTGTGATGAATATAAGCTGTAATTTTAAGATATCAGATCCTAAATTAATGACTGCACTTTGTTTTGCTTAAAAGCTCGTGGGATTATTTGTTCCGATCGTGCGTGCATAGCATCGTGGTTGAGCTTCGTTCTCTGAGCTGGATGGTTTGGTTGTGGAGCTTTTATTGTTGTTCTGAATAACATTATCAGCACAAACTTCAGATCTATTTGAATTTTGTGCTGATGATGTTGTTCAGAAGAACAATAAAAGCTCCACAACCAAAACATCCAGCTCAGAGAACGAAACTCCACCACAATCATCCACCTGAGCTATAATTTTATTCGAAGTACTTACCATCGTCGGTGTACGCTTGTGCGCTTTCCTATAGTCCTTACAGACCACGAGAAGTTATTATTAAGTCATCAAGTATATAGGAAAGTCATCCAAATTTCTTTGTGGGATAATTTATGCACATCAGCACTCCACAAATTCGTTTTGACACGTACTCATGATAAATCACATCCACTTACTCTATTATGTATCTACTTAACTCAAATAACTAGAATATAACGCTTCAGCTATTATTTTATTATCAAAACACATTAGTAGTTAGCTTTAAGATCTCAATAGTCTTCAATCGATTTAAAATAGTGGTGATATTCAATGAGGATTTTTTTTCATTCTGTCAAATTTAATCATCATGTTTAACTGGTTTTATAATAATAAAGATTTTTTTTAAAATTTTGCTCGAAAACCAATTTTCTCCCGAAAAATTCATTCTGATATTGATTTATTCATTCATAGTTACGTGCAAGACCACCTCATTTGATTAAGAAAAAGCCGTTTATCGATTTACCTGTCTCATCATCATCATCATCATCATCCAGTCGAATGGTGGAATCGTCCAATTATTTGATATCGTCATCATCATGTAATCATACAAATCAAACATTGCTGAAAGATGACATTGATCCTGACAAATTCATGCACACAATTTGTTTAATTGAATTGGACATTGTTGACAATGAACCGAATCAATCATTGTTATCAACATCATCGCCATCGCCAGCATATTTATCCGATATTCCACAAGAGAAAATTTATCCACTACCTATTCATAAAGGCGAAGTAAGTTATGGAATTCTGTACATGTGTGTGTTGGGGCTGATTTTTCCCCGCTTAAATTTTCACATTCATTATTATTATTATTATAATCTTTTTAATATGTTGACAAATCAACAGGTTGGTATTTATCTTTTGAACATTCAAATGTTATTCCTTTCATTAATGCTATGATGTGTCGTGTCCGAGATATTGATATTTTAACACAAACTACTTATACACAAGCCTTCAACTGGCTGTTGAGTAAGATGACTCAAAGTGAAAACGAAAATTTGTTAGGTTAAACTGATTCACATGCATAAGCGCATATTTCAATGTGTATAAAACAATAATTTCCATAATTCTAATAGAAAAATTGCAAAATGTGCTCACTAGTGACTAGCTTCTTGAGGAAATTCTCAGAGTTCTAAATGAGAAAACGTGACCAGTGGAGTTCAGCCGTGTAGGGTGCAAGGCGGACAATGAAACATGGTCATGTAATATTATGGATTGATTACAGTTAAACTATCACACCGTGGTCTAGCGGTTAAGCGTTAGTACGCGAGATTAAAGGTTCTGTGTTTGCTTCCAGTGTTCGGCGGTCGTGAATGCTCACTGCTGATGAATCTCATACAAGGATGAAATGGCCGTCCACTGCTTTCAGGTTTCTAATGGTGGTTTGAAAATGATCGACTCCATGAAATTGTTTTTGTGGTTTATTCTTCATGACTGCTATCCTATCTATATTTGTTCATAGCTAACAATACTTTTCACTCATTTATGTTTTATATGATTTTATTTCCAATTAGTTCTATGTAAAAATGAATTAGATTACATTGAATTTTTTATGTAGTCATTTTTCAGACAACTCACCGAGTACAGATTTGTGCACTCGGTTTTAAGTTATGCTTTAGTTTTGAGCACTGGTGATACTATAAGACTTCAAACCAAATTAATTGTAATAGGACACGAATCTGTAGCCTAGCAGTAAGAATTTGAATGTCTTTAATACCTCTCTATCGTATCATGAGTTAATTTTAAGGTTCTCAGGGCAACGATGAGTCGACCCAAATTGTTACACATACATTCATTGAAGGGATATGGTCGGATCAATCTCCTGTTTGTTTACTAGTCATCAGATTTAATAGAAACAATTTTAATTGATTTCAATAAAATTTTCAACTGTGTAATACATGATATTATCTGTCAGTTTAGTGTTTTTTTTTACCGTACTTATCAGTTAAAACAAAGAGAATAAAATAGTTGATACGCTTTGCACTTAGACTCTTGATAATAATTTCCTAATTCTCGTGAATTCTCTTACACGTCAGGATTAAACAGTAACTAGACGGCATAAAGTAGAAAGAGAACTTTTATCTAGAAGTCTAGCTTATTTTCGGAAACCCAGGGTATTTATAGTTTTCCGGAAAACTTGAACACTTCAGAAACTTCCTAAAACGACATTGAATTTGATCGCGTAGAACAGATAATTAAGCAATCAGGTTATTATAACTCATAATGCCTTATTTTTCCACATGTCACTGAAAGTTTCCCATTAACTACTGATTCAATAAAAAACAACACGGTTTCCAGTCTTTTCCTTTTTTTCTAAAGTTGCTTTCCAAATCTTCTTAAAGCTTCACCATAACAGTTCTATCAATAATATTACACCGCTTCTAATCCATATGGCAAAAATTATGCCAGTAAATATACAAAGAAAGATAATAATAATAATAATAATAATAATAATTATTATTATTATTATTATTATTATTATTATTATTATGATTTCACAGTAGTGAAAAATGCACCAGGTGAGAAAAAAAGATACCTAATAATAATAATAATAATAGTTATTATTATGATTACTACTGTATAATCATTTTGTAATTTATTGCATTATACAGTCATTATTACCGGAGATTTAGATAAAACACTGCAATGATTGTATCATTTCTGTCTTCCCGTTTTTGGCTTATTTCTTTCTCTCCACTATTTTTTTCTGTTACCTTCCGAAGAAATAAAACTTTTAATTTCCCCTTTTATTTTTTTCCGTGTCTTTTGAATCTCATAAACAAATCATAAATCTTCGATAGAACTGGATATGAAAAAAAAAACACGAAACTAACACTCGAAAGACACACATTTATGTATTTAGTGATCTAACCTAAATGAAGGTAATAAAACAAAATAGATCAGTCAATCAATCAATCAATCAATAGCAACGTAGAACTTCGTACGTACGTACATCAGTTCATGTTGCCATACCACATTAGCACAAAGATGTAATTGTCAATTCAAATCCAATAGTAGTAGAGGTAGTAAAGGTATTAGAAGTAATCGGAGACATTAGGCTTTGACGATATTATTCAAGAAGTAGGAACCAGTGAAATAGACTTAAAAATAATAAAGATAAAGTGATGAAGAATTAAAAAGTTTAGGATTTGAGAGAACACAAAGAATGAATGCACCTGCGCCATTGCAAACTGTTTTGAGCCATGTCATTCAGGGTCTCTAACTATCGATTACTAACTTCTCGCGGACTCCAACTAGGAAGTCGACACCTACCGACATGACTCAGTCCATTTGTCAGTGATTTCATGCATTTCTGCCATGTTTTGGTTTGGCCGCCCCCCACCGCAAAATATAGCTTGACGAGGTAGTCGGTGTTTAGGCATATGCAACACATGTCCCAACCAGCTCAACTGATGAAGTTTCACTGCTTCATCTATTGATCTGCCATCCTTACCTTGCACCCGTTTCCTAACGACAGCATTGCTTACTCGGTTGTCCCATGATACACGAGCAATGCTTCGAAGACACCGATGATCGAAAACAAGTAAACTACGAATAAAAGAATAGAGAAAAAATACAGCAGCAGCAAACTACTTTTTTGTTTCGGTTATGAGTTAAATCCACTCTTCTTCGTTCTATTCACTTAGTGTGCTTTGAGAAAAAATTGATTTTAGTTCACATAGTGAAGGTTTCAATATGGTTTTTTTTTTAAAAAAAGAAAAGACGATAATTTATACAACTTAATAAGACTACCGATCAACTGATTTTGTTTGTAGATTTTAAATTATTATCTTTATCAAATTATTGTTTTACACTGCTACTCCACTTAACCTACATATATAATAAATGGTTTATAAAAAGATTTCATTTGGTTGATATATTATTCAGAGAGTCGATGTTTTAATCAGTGTTGAATAATAAGTTGTTTAAAATTAGTTCAAGGTCTTATGTTACTTAATTTCGTAGTGTGTAAATGTGAAAAACAGAGTTGAACTATTTTTAGCACTGTTGAAATTGTAATTTTTGACTATGAACTATAGTCTACTGTACAATGTGTTGTAATATCGACTCAACTCATATACCAAGTACAAACTTGTGTATTGAATTTCAAGTCATATTCTAAACATAATGTCTGGTGATCGCATATGGTTCTCTAAACCAATGTGGAGGTGAAGCGTAGCTAAAACGTACGTAAAAATCCAATATCTCAACCACCACCGAGCCATCGCAAAACGGACACTTTATGTTTGCTTTTTAAAACCTGGCTTATCGGAATCGATAATAGCCAATAAATCTATGTGTTGTAAGGTAGTAGTTGTAAGTAGTCGACAAGTTGTGGTGTGGTTTGACTTTTGTCAACAAGATGTCCCCTTAATACTAACAACATAAATGACTCATTGACAACTTCTGTGACCGTGTTATATTGGGTGACACGAGGTCGAACATGTCAGGGAACATCATTTCCTTCAAAATTAAAGGTACAACCTTCTGAAGAAAGCCAAATATCGCAGATACTAGGTCAAATAGGGTTACTTGTATACTACCTTGACCCATCACCTTTAAGCTCGATATAGTGACCGTGATGCCCAGTCACTTAAACAAGTGGCCAGATTATAGCTTATTCGATTGAACTCGAATAGCAGTAAGAAAAATCTGACATACCTGACATTGGTCATTACTCAGTGATTCCTCTGCCTAAAACTCGTCCAATACACAATGTTTATGAAATCATTAAGTTTCATCACACATTATACTCTAAGTCAGTAATTTTTACCCGTAACAATATTAGACTTCATAATATTTCACTTCCACTCAAAAAAAAGTTTCTTGTTCTTACACTTCACATACTCACAAACTTATCATTGGAAAAAAAGTGACTAAAATGTATGAAGCAGTGTATTTCTTTTTTCCCATAACATCCCTCCTCTCACCTTCATCTGGTATGTATATTTCTCTCGACAAATCTACATATAAAAAAGAACATATCAATTATTCATCAGTCAAATAAGCTAATCACCTATCCATCGTAAAATTATCGAATCTTTATCATTCCTATCTGTAATTGTGTTCTTTTCTCTATAAAATACCATAATCTTACTGTCAATATCGTTATATCATTTTTGGTATTCACCTTTTGCGCTAAGCAGTGCTCACTACCTGTATGTGTGTGTGTGTGTGTACTGTGGGTGCACTTACATTTACAAGTGTAATGTACTTACTGCCTGTACACGACAGATTTTTCCAACGTTTAAATATGAAATTAATATATCTACATATATCGTCAATATTGAATAGTAATAAAAATAACTAATGATGCAGAATAATTACTTCCTTTCTATGCAATGGTGTGTACTTGTGTCTGTTGACTGTTGAACTGGAAAAAGAGTCTTTATGAATTATAAACAAAGATACATATAAATCACATAAGTATAAACAAAATGGATTATTTTTAGTTGACATTCATCTCGTTAATTTGATGCACCGTTCATTCATTATCCTGTTAAAAACAGATTATAGTACAGGTGCGATTCTCCACCACCGAAAAATCAATAATGGATTGATATATATATATGTATATATATTTGCTGTGCATGTAATAATTTCCATGCCTATACTGAAGAATTGAATTTCCTTCTTTTGATTGACATGATTATAAACATAGAAATTCTCTACATATTAGATAAGAAACTTCATCGAAACTGTGTGTGTATACGTGTGCTTTCTCTGAAATA